AAGTACGATTGGATTTGGCGTGCAGACTCAAGAAACGACGTTTGAAATAGGCTCTTCCATCTTCTACACTTGTTTCTTTTCCTTCATAGTCCTACGCAGGAGATGAGTTTATGCAGAACCTTTGGCCGGATGGACATACCGGGAAGAATCGTTTGATCGGCGAGTGGAGCACCTTTTGCTCAAAGAGGTCCTGTTTGTTCAAGAACAAGATCTAGAGTTAGAAGAAAGACGATTTGTGAGCATGTTTCATGTTCATTCAAGGGATGAGGACCTACAAAGTGGGTGTGTTCGAACCAAGGCGAAGAGCATATCGACTCCCACACCACCATAGCATCTTGCATTTGGTTCTAGGATTACGATATTTAGTATAGTTTAGTACTCAAACAAAGGGATAGGTCATACCGCAGTTCGGTCTTCGACCAGAACTTGATCGTACCCCGCCAAGGAAACGAGGAAGATGATCGCAGTCACACCCTGGAAGAAATGGATCCACTTTCTTCGTTCCGACCTTTGACCGCCAACATCAATCACTGACACGACTTGTTTCTTGAACGTGAATACAGTCTCGCTGACACCTATTGTCCGCACACGGGAGAAGATAATGTCCTAAATGTCAAAGTGATGAGTCAATGTGTAATGTGGAGATTCCCAAGGGAATTACCTGCTCCGTAGGGACAAATTTCGGCTCGAAGATGCGATCCAAATTGTTAAAGTAGCTGAGCAAGGCAAGTCAGCATATCACAAAACCATCAGTATCGTTGTCTTACTATGAAATACTAGTGAAAGGGTCAGTAAAGGGATGCGGTGAGAATTGGATTGGGCGCCCGGTGCGCTCCCACTCACTTGTCAGGTAGAGCCAGCTGTTTCCCCAATAATAAGCCCTTTTGTACATCTGGATCCTGCCATAGTGTTTTGAAGATCTCGAGGTATTCTTGCGGGTACGGCTGGTTGTCCGCAATCTCAGGTGCCGAGTCCAACTCCTCCAGAATTCTCTATAAAAGTCACCGAGATGAAGAATAAAGAATCAAAGATGGGTTCTCGTCAGTTTGTGTTCCTTGTCGGCACAATGGTCGCCCGAGACCAAATCTCGGAGTTAAGAAAGAGAGCTGTCTCCACGTACCCATGTCTCGTCCGAGCAGCTCACGTCGCTCTCGTCCAGAATGTTCCGGACCAATCGCATTCCATCCACCAAATTGGCAAAGATACGGTGCCGGAACGTCTCTACTTCTCCCGAGGTGAAGGGAATGCTATTGATCAGCCGTATTTGCTGCTCGTCCCGAACCAACCCACGGCCAATGAGCATAGTAGCGCCGCCGCCCCAGAACGACAGAATCACATTCAGGGAGATACATCGATGTCGAGTCCCGAAGAAGAGTGATCCCGGAGTAACATAGGAGTTGATGGGAGATGAGAAAAGGGACAAGTCAGTCGAGGTTGCTTTGTTATGACGGCTAACCAACACCACTCCTCCCTCCAGTACGGTGAGGGTCGGCGCCAGGAGCCCGAAGGGGATTTACGTACCTTGAGTATGGTGGACTTCCCAGCGTCACCAGTTCCCAATAATAACAACTAGTCGTCGCGTAATGTCAGTCGTGTTGCCTGCTTTCACAGCATTCATGAAATGGAATACGAAGCGCCGTGGCGATCGGAAGTCATGGAATTCACAGTGGGACGGGCAAGGTGGGAACATGGGGTTAGCCTGACCGACCTTGGTATGCGAGTTCATGGATTTCTTGGCCTAAGACGAGATTAGCTCAAAAGTCATTACGGGTTCATTAATCAAGGAAGGAGCTTGCTTACATCTTTCATTACCTGCTCAGCATATCGGGCCTGCTCGTCTAGTGCCTGGCCAGAGGAAAAACATTGGCCCATATTGCTCCTTCCCAATCAAGTGATACTTTGACACAAGCGTAGTTATATGTGTGTAATAGTTGAACCGATTTGACCACCACAGCCGGGTATATGTTGAAGATTAAACCGCGATTTTGACCTGCGGGAGTAAAATGCGTATTACGAGGGGGTGCAAGTTTGGAATGACTTTCTTGTCGTCAAATAAAGGGACGAGATGGTCGGTCGGTCTATTTCAGTTTAAGACGAATGGACGGCGTTTCTCATGCGAACCTGTCAAAATTGAGTTGGTTGAATGTGCTTTGATGCTGGAAAGCAGGGTCTTCCAAGCGCGAAGCATTAGCAACCCGACGGAACCAGGGACAAGCAATCAATTGCACCTTGAATATGACGAGTACTCCCAAACGTCAGCGAGGATAGCAAGAGGGGACGCCCGTTACCATGCCTAGTCTTGCTTGCATTGGCACTTGGCCAGGTACAGCAAGCCGACTTGATGCAATCAGGGGCGATATTGTCACACCCTCTCTGGTCCCCCAGAAAGTGTAATTTTGCCTTTTGACTGTCACTAGCCATCCACACGAAGGGGAATTCAGAGCAAGGGGAGGGAAAGGCTAAATATCAATTGGCCTGCTCTTGTGGCTTGGAGGAACCACTGCGATATCTTGCCGTCGTTTGCTTCCTGGTTCCCGGCGTGCGGCGTGCGTGTGTGGGTGCATCGTGTGCCAGGATTGAAAGGCTGGCTGAAATAGCCGGGGCTCGGTTCGAACGATTGTCGGCAATTTGCAACGCTTTGACATAAACAGCTAGCTCGTCCCACCTAGCAGCTGGCTCTTGGATGCATGCTAGGATCCAATCGCAAAGACATTTGGTCCACATGATCTGAGACAAGCCAGATGAGTGGCCAACTGAAACGTGAGCGATCATGGTTCATACCCGGCGGAGATTTCCACGAATGCGAGGTGCAATATGCCTTTTTGCAGAGGCCCAATGGGGGCAAAAGAGGCCGCCACAATAGAGAGCCAGATTGAAGGTGAGACAGCGACGTGTGCGATGACAGAAAAGTCCCCAGTCAAGCTAAACGCACGCGTTCGGGTTTATGCAGACACATACTGGCCCGATAACTCGTCATTGCCAAAGCGGTAGCAAGTGGGATTCCAAGTTGCGCTAGGCTCACGACCGAAGGCAAGAACGTCACCACCGCACTAGTCCATATCCATCATAGACGTATCAACCTAGAAAACGACAGAGTGATATCATAAAGAAATGCTGGGTAATTACGCCCATTTCGATTCCAGAGCGTCTACTGACAGGTGCATCCCTTAGTTGTCGGATTGACCGGTGGAATCGCATCAGGGAAATCGACAGTTTCCCGTATCCTATCAGAAAACTATGGGGTACCCATCATTGATGCCGATATTCTCGCTCGTGAAGTCGTGCAGCCTGGAACTAAGGCCCATTCGCAGATTGTCAGGCACTTTGGAGAGGATGTCCTACTGAAAGACGGGACAAGGCAACTAGATAGGAAACGACTAGGAGATATCATCTTCCGTGATGCAGCCAAGCGAAAAACTCTGAATGGAATTGTGCATCCAGCCGTTCGTCGGGCCATGCTAACCTCTGTGATCAAATGTTGGTTACGTGGCGAAAGTATTTGCGTGCTTGATGTGCCTCTTTTAATTGAAGCCAACCTCTGGAAATTCATGGGGAGTGTCGTTGTGGTTTACTGGTGGGTGTAATGTTACCTGTTTCAACCCAGGACCTGACGCCATTCAGCTCCTACGACATTCAGCTGCAAAGGTTGATGAACAGAGACAAAATCCCGATTACTTCGGCACAAGATAGACTCGCCGCCCAAATGCCGTTGAAGGAAAAGGTCAGTTATGCGGACAGAATCCTTGACAACTCGGCGGGTCCTGAGGAACTGAGGCAACAAGTTGGAGAGCTCGTACGTTCCTTGCAAAGCGAAGCAGGATGGACGTGGCGACTATCCTGGCTTGTTCCACCTATCGGTCTAGTGTTCGCGGGATGGCGTCTCATACATAAAGCTCTGGTCCGCTACCTGCGTTCCAAGGGGACTCGGGTAAACAAGGATGCAAAATCTCGATTATAGCAAGAATGGTCATGTAATTAATCTTATGGGTAATATTCAGCAGCGAGTTCCCGTATAGACCGGTGTGCCGGACCCCTTGTCTGCAAAGCTGGATTTGCGGTCACACCACCGTGAGGCAATGCCCACTACAAGACCGATAAGAAAGTCAAACCCTTATACCTAATATCTATAGTTGGAATGATCAGATATCAGGTGGGTATATCGATGGGACCTAATTTCTACAGTACCTGGATCGGCATCCGTGCAGCTGCCGAACGGGCAACGTAGGCCGTACGTAGCTTGTCCCCTTTTTCATCCCCTCCGTTTGGAATATCAATAGCATGGCAACCGAAAAAACCCACAGCTATGTTCTACCTCATCGTGCGTACTATTTGTGTTAGGAAATTATAACTTATTGTCTCATGCAGATGACCGCGAATACGCTAGGCTGTTAGCCTTTATACCATAGATTTGAACCCGGCATTGATTTTCCGCACTATAGTGATCTTCAGCATGAAGCAAGCAAGCTCACTTGGGAAGGGTTGTATCCCCAACCCTGCCACGACATGGTTCGAAAAGCTTTGTCACCATCACCTGGCGAAACCAGGCGAGTCCTGGACCTAGGTCAGTGAGCGACCTTCATATAATGTCTTTTAGTAACGAGTGATCTTTCAATTATAGGTTCCGGCTCTGGATCTTGGTTAGTACTGAGCCAATAGTTTTAGCATGACTGAATTTAAGCAGGTGTATCGACATGGCCCTCGAATTTCCTCATACTGAGGTGCTAGGAATAGATATACAAACTCGCTCAATGGAACATATACCATCGAACTGCAACTTTCAGGTCCATGATATCAACGCCGGCTTGTCACAGTTTCATGGGATGTATGACCTGATTCATTGCCGATATACGGGCCAAGGAGTAAGTCCTGTGTTACTTTACTGCACTCTTTCTGATATCTCACAGTTCGCGGATCATCGCAAGAGCATGATTGACTCCGTCAAATGTCTCAAGCCCGGAGGCGTCATTATCTATATAGATATCACAGAGATGATCAAAGAAGACCTTGGTTCTGCTTACAATCCGGCTGTATCTAGTAATTTGGATGGAGCATGGCATCAGAGAATGTATTTCCGTAAGAGATCTCGTTCAAGTGAACCAATACTGTGCTAATCTTCCTCGATTAGTTATCCAATGTGGGTCTGAAAAGCTGGGAAATGACCAGAAACGGGCTCTCGGTGACGTTGCGATGGGTTTCTGGGATATTGAAGGCTGTGATCCCACTAATTGTGGAGGTATCGAGATGATGATTCCCATGGGCCACTGGATCACCTGTAAGTCTCAGTAACCGGGTATATATATACATATTGAGGCCCTTATTGGACAATCATAAGACAGGGATACCGAGGAGGCGAATCGTTTGAAAGCGGTTACTGAAGCTTGGACCAATGTCGTGGGCGTGAGTGTAGCAAAAGTCACAAAATATACATCTAAACATGCTAGCAGAAGGTCCATTATCACCTAGAGAAGCCTTTAAAGGCCGCGGGTCGTTCTGATAAGGACATTGAACTCTTATTCAAGAAAATAGACGAAGGTTAGCAGTCACATCATTGCCCCCTTCCAATTAACGCATACTGTCAGATTTTCTCCACACGAAACATCGTATGAGAACTCATTGTAGAGTCATTTGGGGTCAAGCTCCCGGTGGTGCTGCCGGGACAACGGAAACCTTAGAGATGCCACATCCTTGCTCCACACGTTCCATCACAGGAATACCTGACGGAGAGTTTGAATTTTTGAGAGTTTACTATGACAAGAACCAGTGGAGAGAGCGTATCGAAGCACTTCGAGCCACCCAAACGCCAGACATGATCGCATTAGCCACTGTGGAGGGCTATGATATGATAGAAAACCTATAGGTCCAATAGATTTACGAAATATAAGTAGTGACTGTTCCTTATGTAACGGGCCCCTATTGTACGTCTGCTACGCCACTCTACGCCCGCACCCTGTGATTTGATCTTAACTCGATTGGTGGCTGCTATATAAATGGCGCTTCACATCTCCTAACTTGTCCTCTACCACTATCTATCATAATCCTAGGGAAATGGCCACGGAAACTAGTGGATCTGTTCATCCGGCAACCAACTACGGGCAACTCCATGGTCAGTGCACTTCAGAGCCATGCCAATGCAGAGCCGACCCTCTAATGCACCGATACAGAGACTCGTGAATATAACAGACTGTGAGCCATGTCGTTCATTTTACCAAGACTAAACCCTCCAAAATTCAGTGACAACCAACATGAGGCACATAAAGTTGCGATGGGCGGTCCTTATCCTTCTGTGTGTGAAGATCAGATACAAAAGGTTTTGAAACCGTGCCCTGGAGAAACTAGAAGGATTCTAGATCTAGGTAATTAAGCCTCTCAAACCAGATGGATCATCTCAACCTCCCTTCCAGGATCTGGTACCGGAATATGGTACTTATTCTATCCTTCTCCCACCATCACAATAGCTGAAACAAGGACTGGATAGGTGCATCGAAATGGCCCGCAAGTTTCCTCATGTTGAGGTACTAGGAATCGATCTCAATCCTGGTCCTACTGAAGAAATACCTTCAAACTGCAGCTTCCTGATTCACGACATCAACACGGGTCTATCCAGATTTCATGGACAGTATGATTTAATCCACTGTCGACACTCAGGATGGGGTGTACGAAATCTCATCTTGTCGTTGCGCGCCTGACGAAAGTCGCAGTTTATAGATCACCATGCAACCCTTTTGGACTCTATCAAATGCCTAAAGCCTGGAGGAATGATTATTTTCATCGACCCTTTACATAACATGAAAGAGGATCGAAATGCTCTTTACGATCCGGCATCGTCTACAAACCTTGGGGGTTCATGGCACCAAAGAATGATGATGTGTAAGCTCGTTTCTTGGAATGAATATCCAAGAGGCTAAAGTTGCATCTAGTGTCGTTTTGTGGAGCGCGAGTGATAGGTAATGACATCAAGGGAGGAGAAATGGACATCGCACAAGGCTTTTGGGATCTGGAGGAGTGTGATCCAAATACATGCGGGGCCGTTGAGATGGCTTGTCCTGTAGGGGATTGGGC